AATAAAAATAAAAAGATTCCCAGTTACTTTGCACTATCCTGCCAAATAAATGGAGCTGATCTCATGAAATGTGTGCTTGAACACACAACCTCATAATTATCAGATCTATGCAAGGTCAGGAGAGGTCAAAACTTATAATAATTAGGTCAAAGTAAACTTTGGTTATGTAAGATGAGATCTGCCAAAAATGACTAAATTCCAGTGAATAGAGCCATAATTATGGTTAAAACAACAACCTCAGGTGGTCCTAGTCAAACTGTTACTTCAGGGCTCATACCACTAATTGAATTTCCATAGACGACAATGTTAACATATGACGAGATTGCTATATGAAAATGACGAAGAAAGTTGAAAATATGGCTCAAAAATGGGAAATCAACATGCCAGTAATCAACCATATGAAAAAAACTAACATGTTGGCCAGCTCAAACTCTTGCAAATCTCAGGTAAACAAGACACACCTACTGTATTTGGATTGCACCAAGAGAAATCACTGGAAAAACACCAAGATTAGAACATCCATTAACACACAGAATAAACCCACAGGTACACAGCCGCTAAGTAGTAAACAAAAGACCACATGTTGGTCTCACCTCTGACCCAGGTGATTACGCCCTCAAACAGGTCGCACCTGAGAAAAATAATATTTAAAAAATTTCATTGGTTCTTGCTGGGCATTTAAATTGAGGGCTACGAGCAGCCATTGGTTAATTAGTGGCATGAGACCTAAAGAGCTACTGTAAATAACATGAAAACTGGGAAGTACTCTACATTTTGATAACTATTCAAATTTGACATGACACAGGTCTTGGAGAAGCCACCTACTATCTTTAAGTTTAAGACCAAAATTGATAAAATTATCTTAGCACCATAAGATTATTATATTGATTTTCTTAGTAAATGATCTAGATTTCAATCCCATCATAAAATTACACTCTCAGTTACTGAGTCTTAGCTTCACTTTACCGGGTATATTATATATAGGTGAAGATGTATATTACTGTAGCTATTTAATGCACCATTCAATTGTCCAAGTACTATGCAAAGTTGTTACAGAAATGTAATTAGAAATGTTTCCCAGTTTTTGTACACTCCTGCATACAGCGGGAAACAAGATTGTCAGCGGACAAATCTTGGCAAAACTATGATCTGGATTTTATGGGGATTATGTGGCAGTTTTGTGTACTGTCCCCATGTAGCTCGCAGCTTTGGGGTGCCGGGGTCACAAATGACTGGTGCATAAAATAATTATGATAAATTTAGCCACATAGCATGGCTTCACACCATGTCCGTACATAATTACTGGTAGTTGATTTCTTTCTATTCATAAGAATCTGTCAAAAGACAATGATGTTACGTAACATGGCTGTATAATGTGTTTCCAAAAACCTGTATATATTACCATTTATAGTAAGTACATGTTGAGATCTGTTCTTTTAAAGATCAAATCAATATAAGCATTTGTTACTTCTTTAAATTATTCCTTCCCTTAGAAATGTGTCCATACTGTATATTGATGATCCTCAAACTTTGTATTATGATCATGCATACTGGGTTACAGTTTGCACTTCATATTTTTTTTTTCAATTTAAAAAAAAGGGCTGACTGGTGGCCATTTGCTTATTTATGGTATCCATGTTTGTTTCTCTGGAATACAATGGCTGATTTTATTCAATGTTGGCACACAGATGATACCTGAAGCCCTATTGTAGACATATTTGTCTACATGTGACTTGTACTGAATATTGAAATAGTGTAATAGTAAAACCAAACAGGAACTATGCATTATCAGTGTTGTTAAAAATAATTCATCATTGGTTCAGAATCCCATAACTTTTATGTACTCGTATTCAACTTGCAGTACAATGCAAGCGCATCATCATACAAAGCCAACCTGGACTGGACAATATTGTTGTGTATCATATGTAATTATGAGAAGTAAGGCATTATAACAATAAAAAGAAAACATTCTTATGAGGTTTTGATAGCTGGCTGGGCTTGTCAAGTCTTACCTGTGGCTAGCCCTGACATGTGAAGCTGTGCTTGATTTGTAAGATGTATCATAATCTGTGGAGGAGAATAACCTGTGTTATTTTTTGGGATATCGTTTACAGTACCACTCATACTGCATTGCCAAGTCTTCACCAAATTTGAAAGAAGCTGCTAAACTACTCTATGAATTGTAAGTATTGGTCACATACGTTTTTGAGTTTTATTGTTGGATTTTACTGACAGAAAAGATAAGACCGAGTTTTATTACAATTGTATAGAAACATTAACATTTTTAATTTGGTATTAACCAAGTTAATTTTAATGTTCGAAAACATTAATTATAATTAAGAGAGATCTCCCCAAGTGTAACTTTTTTTTATTTTCTAGTTGGTATAGTTTTTATACCCATAATTTTCAAAGTATAACATTTCATATTATCTGTGTTTTATAAATCATAAAATTCCTTAAGGTAGCGAGACTATTATTTGTGTTGAAAATTACGATTTTCACATTTATTTATTAATTGATGAAATGCACTATAAACTTTCATATGATAAAGTCAACATAACATAGAATGTCATGTAAGTTGGTTAAAATGTAGATTTTCTGAAGGAAAGCAAGGCAGCCTCAGTAGTGTTTTCCAAAATCAACAACACAGGTTTAATCTGTGTGCCTATAAGTTTCAAAGATAAACTCAAGACAAAGCAATGTTAGGATGTGTTATCAGTAGCTATCTGACACACAATGAGTGTTTCCAAACATTTGAGTGGTTTGTCTCCGCCCCTGTTTGTTTCACAGATTAGTCATTTGCATATGAATGTGTCAGACACAAGGTCACACAGCAACTGAAAAAAATCATTGATTTTGGTGTTTTCATATGATGAATTTATCCAAATATAGCTATCCCATTCCTTTATTTTTTTGGTTTCCAATAGCCTTACACATTTGGATGTCCCTACACATGTTAAAACAGACCTTGATGGGAAAACAAATTGATTGTGCCGATAAACAAGCTGAAAATCTTTGCTGTGACTTCATGGACGTTTTCTAGGAGTTTATGTTTTTCAAAATACAAGGTCTTTAAAAAAAAATAACGTATACTTATTGTCGTCGGATTAACACCAAATTTTCACAGCTTTAAGGTGACAATGAGAGGAACTTGAATGTGTCCAGACAAATTATTTCATCGATTATTTAACAACGAGTTGTGGTTTAAGTTGGGGGCAATGCGACTAAAACAGTAATTGAAATTCAGCACACTATTTTTTAAAACGCGTTGCTTGAATAAAACTGACCAGACACATTCAATTTACCAGACTATTGAACAACTAGGAAAAGTGAAAAAAATACTTCTTACCGCCAGCATGAATGCGTAATTACTTTTTTTACAGAAAAAGTAATTTTTCACCTTTGATTGAGTAACGCGTCGTAGAATGCAGATACGGGCATGCAAAATACACTTGTGAAAAGCTTGAAGTCTGGCGATTCTAAAAATATATACTTTCCCGGGTCTATTTGTAGTCATTCAGTCACAATTAGAAGATGAAAACAAGTATGCAAATAATAGTCCCGCTACCTTAAGCTATGAAATGTTGATTCAATAGAACCACAGATATTTATTGTACTCAGGAATTGTGACTAGGGATTGAAAAAAAAATCTAGTGGAACAACCACTATAAGAAACTCGTCATCCCTATAAAATAATATAGTTGTAATAATAAAAAACTTTTTGTTTAACACCAGAGCCAACTTTTGCCACTTTTCAACCTGATTAATTTGTTAGCATTTAGTCAATGTCTTATTAAGATCTGGCTCTTCAAAACAACAGCTTAATGAATGTGTTTTGTTGTTGTTGGTTCCATGATATCGGTAATGCTATTACTTTGTAATATATAACTCTGTGATTTCTGTATTTATGTCTCAGTTCACCATTTCACAGAGTTTTATGCACGCCATTTGAACATCATTCTTACCATCAGTGTGCCATAAGTTCATCTAAAAACATAATATTAAAAACAGTGAATGGGATACTTATGTCAATGCAGGCAGTTGTTTTTAATTATTAGACTCGTACTAAGTGATCATGGTACAAAGTATTTTTAGGACAAGTTGACTTTGGTTTAAAGGGCAGTAGTCGTCGCATGTGCGACATTTGTGTTGATAAACATTGATTTTCCCCCAATCCAATGCGCTCTTCTAATGGGAATCATAAGTATGAGGCTTGACCTGGGCGCCACTCGCATTAATTATAGCCGATGACTCCTTAGATACCTTCTAATAACCTAAATTTGTACTCGTTAATCTGCGCAACAGCCAAAGTCAACATCTTTGTTTCTATGAGACCCATATATCTCGCTCATGCTTGGCGCGAAAACTACTGCCCTTTAAAGTGTGGACAATTCATTTACACAATGTTCTATTACATTCCAGATTCATTCATTTCCATCATGAATCAACACTATGGCAGGAGTTCCACTGTATCACCATAGCGATGCAATCTGACCTATCTGACCCCCATACCACCTTTCTCTCAGGTATGTCTGTGATGATTTCATCCGCACTGTCTGGAGAATAGACAAAGTAGCTAGACTAGATGTCGTCTGTGATCGTAAGAATTTGAAAAATTCAGAAATACGTGTAATAGATTAGTGAAATCGTTTGAAGGTCTGTGGGCCGGGCCTTATGTACAGGTCAGTCTGCGCATACTGGTCTTGATGGTAATGTATGGTTGTCATGGAGACCTCCAATCAGTGATGACACAGAATTCTATGTCGACTATGTAGTTACAAAGTGATTCACCAGGCCAATGTTGAGTGTACTCGGATTGACTGGATTCCAGGCTGCAAATTAACATTCAAGATTGGAATAGGAACAGTATTTTCTTTATTAGAT